CCCCCCCCCCCCCCCCCGCCTGTGTTGGAAGACCCTTCTGACAGTCAGAAATGTCGCGCAGCCAAGAAAGTGGAAAAATCAGAAGGCCACTCACCTAGGCGTTGCCAGAACATGGAAAGGTACGTGGCTACGGGCGTCGCTGCACGGGACACGAAATGAAAAGCGATACGATTGCATCTTCCTCCAGAAAATGGTCAGGTTTATCGGTTTGCTATCAAAAGTAACGAGTGTATTTTGCCACCGTTCGTGGGCAGATGCCCTCGTTTCGTTTTCATTTCGTGTGCTGTGCGGCAAGACCCTACTTCACTTTGACCTTTTTGCAGAGGCTCTGAGCCCCCTAGCCGTGGTCCAGAACGGAGCCTACTCAACTTGGACACGATGTGACGGACCATCTTCTGTAATCGCGCGACTTCCTGCGCGGGGCTGCTGTGGGGAAACGGGAGGGTCTTGATGGGTGACGGGGCGCAAGCGGGATCGGTGGGGCAAGTTGCCTGGATGCCCTCGCTTCTTTTTCGTTTTCATTGGAATTGTCGTGCCGGTGTCGGGAAAGTCCTGCGACCACGATTAAGTGACCGCGCCCTAGCAAGCGCGAGAAATAACGGTCGCCATAGCTTCTTTCTTGTTCTGCTATGCGCCCTAGGAATTTTGGTGGGATCAGCGCGCGGGAATTTTTCGGTTTTGAAATTCGAACTAATGTCGAGCCCCCGTAGGCTCTCGGAATTGTTTTTCTTTCCTTTCCCTCTTTTTCCCTTTGGGATTTTCTCTTGCAATTAGGATTTAGACTAGGAATTTAGGCACTTTGCAATTTGGTGGCACGCCGCTTCTTGCTCGCACGCGCTGTGACTCGACAAGGTCTGGGCTCTGAATCCATCCGCGCCTTAATCCAGTGTGTAACTGTAGTTTTTGGCGGGCGCAATCGCAATTGTAATCTTCTTGTTCTTGATCACTTTTTGTATTTCCTTCTTTCCCGCCTCCTCTTCGCATGCACACTCTTCCTCTGTTCTGAGTGGATCCCACGGTTGCATGCCCGGATCGATGCGCGGAGAGTGGCTTCGTCCCCCGCGCCGTGGCCTGGGCATGCAGACGTAGGCACTCCCTCCCTTCTCTTTCTCATCACTTGGGGCTAATCCCGTATTCCTCGTGCAAGCATACATGCTATAAATTTTGCAAGCTCGATTAGTTGTCTCTCTAACCTATTTGGGAGTTAGCGCGGTCGAGAGGATCGGCTAACGAGCAGAAAGACGGTGAGTAGAGAGTCGGGCGATCCGACGAGCTGGCGCTGAGTGCGCGGGGTTGACGCGTGGCCGCGACGGACTGTGGCACGTGGGCGAACCTGGCTTGCATACTCAGACCAAGGGGGGTGACGACTCGGTTGGATGTTGGAGGTGCGGGGCGACGGACTGCCCTCATCGAAAGAGAGAGAGAGAGAGAGAGAGAGAGAGAGAGAGAGAGAGAGAGAGAGAGAGAGAGAGAGAGAGAGAGAGAGAGAGAGAGAGAGAGAGAG